ACTGAAAAGTAAATGATAGGGATATCTTCAAGATTGTGCTGTCAACCCAGCTCCAGTTAGTGATGCGCTGGAACAGCTGTGGGTAAAAATTAAATTGCTAACATGTTCAGTGAGTATTGGAGTGTTATATCTTCCACCCGATCGTAGAGATGATCTTTCTCCCATCCGGCTTGAAACCTCATAATATTGCATTTCAATAAGGTTTTATATTTTTTAACTCTGGAAAGGGAATTTTTAGTCGTAGGCTGGTTACTTCAATTTGGTAACAATATCCACCCCAACATGTATTGAACTGATTCAGAGGATGGCGGACATAAAAGAGACTCCATTTTCCCGTTTTTCAACTGCGGATGGTATGTACATGCCATGGACAAATCAACTCTGTGAAAAATTCTAGTTCTCGTATTCATGCCTTAGTAGGGGTATTCGGGGTAAGACGACAGTGAGGGTAATACGGGTACCTATTTATTTAAAGGCTTAACTATTGTATAACTGGGTTTTGATCACACCTACTCCTAGTTAATGACATTTAATGCAATCCTCAATATTCTACCTCTCACGGGAGCTGTCAAACGTAAAAATATAATCCAAAACAAAAAGTTATTCCTCTAGCGGTGATGTGATGAAAATCTCGGTGAACAATTTATAAGGTTGTAAATAGTGTTTGCTACCCGGGATATCCCGGGAAATTTACCAAAATACACATTTCCCGATTCCCGGGAAACTGGTTTGACTTCCCGGAAAACAGCTATTTTGTACAGAAGCTATACTAAACATACATTTTCACTAAAAATAGACTACACTACCCGGGAAATTTACTTCTTTGATTTACTTGGGGAAATCAGAACAACCTATCTAGATGAGCCAGTAACTTCTGGAGAAATCAATCTGGAGGAAAATTCCGAGAAAAATCGAATGCAATTCCTAAAAATTAAAACTGAAAAATTGTCTCGTGGAAATTGAAGATACTTACAGAGGAAGCCAGAAGGGCTTTTGAAGAAGTCGGAAGAAACTTCCAGAGAGGCTGGTAGAAACTTTCGTAGTAAGGTGACAACAAGTTGGAAGACACTTTCAGGAAACGTCGGAAGGAACCTCCGGGAGACTCATGTAAGTCGGGTTTTAGAAATAAGTACTTGGAGATTTCCGAAACATTTCCGAGGTAGAAAACAAATTCCACTTCCAGCCAGTAGGCCTTCTGGTGGAAGTCGGAAGCTACTTCCGGGAAAGGTTTGAAGAAACTTCCGCTGAACATTGGAATAAACTTCTGGAGAAACATGGAAGAAACTTTCGGGGAAAGATGGAAAAATCCATTACCTGTCCATTTTCCCCGAACTTAAAAAATCATGTAAATTTTTGAACCATTTTTATTGTTTAAAAAAAATTATAAGTTTAAAGATTTAAAATCAAATGCTTCATTTAGTATGAATTTAACTCACATAATATAACGGCACCGGTGGTGTAGTGGTAAGCGTGACTGCCTCTCATCCCAAAGAGCTTGGGTTCAATCATAGAGGTAACTCTTAGACTAGAAGGTCCCGAAATAACGTGCTCAACTTTGTGGCTCAACTCTGGTACTCTCTTCGGTTCCAAGCTAATCGATTCACCCCTCGAAACATAAGAAAAACCAATAACCCCTCATTTTATCTGTCAAACTTTCATAGCGAATCAAAATAAACATTGCATAGTACTAGAATTTCGAATAGAATGGGGTACTTTGATCGTTTGTTTGGGACCAATAGGCTAGTCAAGTAGTGATCTAATTTAAAATCTTTAGTTTCGTATTGATTGTTGGTTTAATCCCAGTCGGTGCCGTCAGGATTTCTGAGGTATAAAATCTCTGATCACGCCACGCGAGGGAAGTAAAACCGTTGGTCCATCGGAAAACAAGATCGACAGAAAACAAATCAAAGAAAAAAAACTCACAGGATACTGGTAGCACAGACAAACAGACATAACTCTTAGAAGAAAATTCTTCAAAAAATATCATCAAGCGTATTTTGTATGCACACTAGCACTCTCTATCTTGCCGGAAAGCATTGATTTGCAACCGAAGCATCCCTCGTCCATGCAATTTTTTCACTAGTTGCTTTTCCCTCGTTCTGTCAACGGGTCAGCTGTGTTGAATAAAAACAAGACAAATGCAAATCAGTGATGCCGGTTCTACGAAGGGTTCAGTATTGATTGAATTTAGCAGAAATGATCCGTAGGACAGTGTAGTGTCGAGGACCGTAGGAGATGGAAGGAAAACACGTCGTTATCTGCTGCTCTCTAAAACACTTCTGTCTTTATTCTTTGTACTCTCTCGCATCAGTCAACGCAGACCCCTAAGCCAACAGGCATTACGATTATATAATAGCGTTACTATACTACATCACTTTTCTCTTTTCTTATTGTTTTTTCTTCTTCTTGTGGTTCACTGTTACATCTTAAACATGATGAACATAGTCCTGCAAATATGCTGGTTGTCGCTTTGTCCTCATAGCTCTGGGTTCCAAATCAGGTGTAGATTTCCTCGAACCTTTTCCGCTACTGCAACATGATGTTCCCGATGATGATGATGGTTTACTTATATCCAAATTGGTGCTGCTGGTTTCCTTATCAGTGTTGATGCGCTGTAAATGTGATACATGTCTGCGATACTTTACTCCTGACTCTTCTGAAGCCACCAATACATCTCCGCCTTTCCTTTTGATCACCTTGAATACCTCTGGATCAAAGTTCGGTGTTAGCTTGTTGGCCTTCGTCATCTTTTTTATCAGCACCTGATCCCCTTCAGAGATGGGGTTGGGTCTGGCATTGCGTCGCCCATCAGCATACAATTTTCCCATATTCTTTTTCTCTTTATCTCTATCAGCCACCTCCTCATCAACATCCTTCGGTTGGTTAATGGATGGCACTTTGTCACGAATATTGTAGCCAAAAAGCATTTCCGACGGTGTTTTTCCGGTTGTCGAGTGTGGAGTAGACCGATACATCATTAAATATTTATTTAGTTCACATTGCCAGTCCGTGTTTGTTGCCTGACTAATAGAAAGCCTTTTCAAAATGGATCGGTTTTGTCGTTCCACTTCGCCGTTTTGTTGTGGCCAATATGGAGTTGTGCTGATCAACATGATGTTGTTCGATTCACAATAACCTCGAAATTCCTCACTAGCGAACTGTGGACCGTTGTCGGCTGTGACGGAAATAGGCAGACCGAAACGAGCAAAAATCAAAGACAACCGCCTAATAGTCTCACTGGAGTCTATTTTCTTCATTATCTCGACTTCAATGTAGCGGCTGAAGTAATCAACCACCACAAACAAATAATGACCTGTTGGAAGTGGGCCAAGATAATCAATAGCCAAGTGTTGCCAAGGCTCTGATGGCAGTTCTCTTCGTTTCATCGGCTCTGGTGCTGCAGGCGCTGCTACTAACATACAGCCTCGGCATTTCTTGATGTATTTCTCAACTTGTGCATCAAGTTTTGGCCACCATACTTTCGCACGCAGTCGTTGCTTCATCAACGTCATACCCGGATGACCCTCATGTGCCAAGTCAAGTGTTCGCATTCTTAGGCTTTGTGGCATAACCATTCGTGTTCCACGCAATAAGAGTTTCCCAGCAAAACATAATTCCGTCTCAAACAGTTTAAAGGGAGCTGCATCTTCACTCCATATACCCTGTTGCAATGCAGTCTTGACAGATCCGATCGAACTATCCGCTTCAGACTCTTGCTCAATCTCGGCTATTTTCAAAGCAACCGGAGCAGCATTTGTAGCTACCCAATGCACATAATGTTCCGTGCATTCTTCAATAGTCTTACCATCTACCTTGGATGTAACTGCCAGTCGTGATAATGGGTCGGCTATGTTGGATTTGCCAGGTCGATATATAACTGTTCCTTTATATGCCTGCAACCGGACAACCCACCTTTCGATCCTAGCACAGGGCTTTGATCGTGGACCAAAAATCGTTTGCAATGGTTTATGGTCTGTGATCAATTCAAATGAACGGCCGTACACATAAAAGTGGAATCGCTCAACAGACCATACCAATGCTAGAGCTTCCTTCTCTATTTGAGCATATCGTTTTTCGACATCGGTCAAACTTCGACTCGCATATGCAATTATTCTTGGGCCTCGGTCGTTAATCTGAATAAGGACAGCCCCTAGACCAACAGGGCTTGCGTCAGCGATCAATTGAGTTCGATCCTCAACGTCAAAGTAACCTAGGGTTGTAGGATTCGTCATGTGACTTTTCAGATAGTCGAACGCTACCTGATGCTCACGATTCCAAACAAACTTGTTGTGTTGTTTAGTTAGCTGCCGGAGAGGATCAGTTAGGGTCGCTAAGTTTGGAATAAACTTTCCCACATAATTGACTAATCCCAAAAAACTTCGAGTTTCTTCTTTGGAACATGGCTCTCGAAAATTACGAATCGACTCCAACTTATCTGTGTCAGGTCTAATCCCATTAGCAGACAAAATATGCCCCAAAAATTTCAGTTCACTTACTCCATATAAACATTTGGTATCGTTTAGCTTAACATTCATTTCTTGCAGCTTACAACGTACCTTCTCCAAACGTATATCATGCTCCTGTTGATCACATCCGTGTACAATCACATCATCGATAAAGTTTACACAACCTTCGCATCCACTCAAGACTTGTTCCATAATTTTCTGAACCAATTCAGGAGCGCAGTTGATGCCAAACATCAGGCGGGTATACCTGTACAAACCTCTACGCGTGATAAACGTTGTAATTTCCCTGGATCTCTGAGATATTTCAACCTAAAAATAAAACTCAGTACATCAAAATTCCATTTGCTTATTTATTAATAAAGTATCACAAATTGACAGTTAGACTGGAATTCTATCAGGCTACTAGGATAAACCCCAAAAATCATAACGTTACGCAAGTACAGCAAACTAAACTAATCCGTTCGTAACATATATCTAAATTCTTCAATTCGTTCGATTTAGCAGCGCTGTCAATTTGGATTCAATCAATCAACTTTAGCCCACCTGGTGAAATGCGTTTTCTACATCAAGTCTTGAGAAAACTTTTGCCTTAGCGAGATCTGGAAGGAAATCCTCAATCGTCGGTAATGGATGATTCTCCCTTTCGACTGCTTCGTTTGCCCGCCGCATATCAACGCATATGCGCACATCTTCACCTTTGGGCACAACGACAACTGGAGACACCCACTTGGAAGGTTCGTTCACCTTTTCGATCACGCCTTGACTCAGCAGCTCATCCAGTTTGTTGTCCACCAGTTTTTCCAATGCAATTGGAATACGTCGATACGGTTGGATAACTGGTACAACGTCTGTCTTAATGGGAATATCGATGACTATGTCCTTGATGGTTCCCAATGGACCAGCTTTGTCCTGTGATTCTATCTCATTGACCGCAATGTTGATCTTCAAAATTTCCATTGCCGTTGCAGTATCGCGACCAATCAAAATCTTTCCGCTTCCCTTCACGACATAAAACTCAGCCGATTCACTTCGGTCACCCAACTTAATGGTTGCAGTAAATGCACCGAGCACTGATAATTCTTGTCCACCATAAACTTTGAAGACCTTGAATACATCCCGTGTTTGATTACTCACAACCACCTTACTGGATTTCATTTGCTGCCAGACAGACTCGCTCAGTAAATTGTACTTCGAGCCCGAGTCAATTACCACGGAAACAGCCACACCTCCTATTTTGCATTGCACTTCACCGTCGTTGTTAGTGGTCGTTACGTTGAATACATATTCCGTCTCCGTGTCGACGATTTGATTAACATCATTTGATCCTTGATTCCTGTTATCATCACTTCCATTATCAGTCGTCGCTGGTACAAAATCACGTCTCTGCGTCATCAGTTGCTTTCGCTTACGACACTTTTTCGCGAAATGGTCACGTCCGCCACATTTGTTGCATGATTTTCCTCTCGCCGGGCACTTTTCATCTCTTGCCATGTGTCCAAAATATCCACAGCGATGGCATTCCACTCGCACCGAATCAGTGAACCGATTTCTCTTGCCGTAGGAGGGTTTTACTTCAATCCTGTTTACCTCACTGATCTGTGGTTTCAGCATTTCTCCTCTGGTAAAAGATTTTTCTTGCAGGGCCACTGTTTCAAAAATCTTCGATACTCTCAAAACTTCTTGCAGATCAGCATCGCCTCGTTTGAGTAAATCCCTACGCAGGGCTGCCGATTGACAATTCTCAATGATTTGATCCTTGACGTTCTCTTCAACTTTATCTCCAAAACCACATCGTTCAGCTTGAACACGCAATCGGACCGTAAATGAATCAATACTCTCGTCAACCTTTTGCTTCATTTGCCGCAGCAGGTGTCGTTCATAAGTAGAATTCTCCTTAGGAAGGAAAAACGCATTCAACTTTGCTGCTGCTTCTTCGTAGCTCGTCATGTTCGGTGTATAATTATCCACATTCATCAATGGGCCACGCATTTCACTACTCGGCAAATCTGGCAACGTATCGAACAGTTGCTGAACGTTTGGACCTGCGTAATGCAGCAACAAATCCTTCTTCCACTCTTCGTCGCTGATACGGCTTGCTCGAACCATCGTCTCAAACGATTTCAACCATTTACGCCACTCGATACCAACGTCGTCAGTATGGGATGCGTAGTCAAATACTTGCATCTGCAAACCGAGAAACCGGATCATATCTGCAAAATACATACACAAACATCACTGTTTTGTTTTCTGAGCCTTTCGTGAATTTCCTCGTCGGTATGAATTAGGTGAGCATGAGTGAGGTACGAATTTGCGGTAACAGCAAAACAGGCAAAACTTGCCTCGCAATGCAAATAGAGTACTATCACAAACAAGCTTCGTTTGTGGTAGTATCACATTTCTGTCTTGCTCTTTTTCCCGATTCACCGCTCACTCATACCATGGCACTTGTTCGTTTGCTTATTTATTACACGCTTTGCCTCTCCCAAGAGAGCATTCATGTATATAGCGTTATGCATGCAACTATCTCATACTGGTACGACGACTGCGCTTTTCGACCTTATTTTTCCATGTGTGAAATTCAATCGACTGAGGAAATTCATCGAAATATTTTTTTCCATCACCAACAGATTCAGGCTAAATCGTTCACTATCCGCATTTAAGCGATCTATGTGCTACTTTTTTTCCTGCTATTTCGCAGAATAGAACTAGACTCTTCGTATTCCGCATTTAAGCGACTGTTCTATTTCCAAATTAATTCCTGCTCTTACGCAGAATGGAATCAGACATTTTGTATCCCGCATTTAAGCGACTGATCCATTTCAATCTATTTATTTCGTGAAACTTGTTCCCGCAAACATTCTGCTCAATTACTTACCTAATGAATTCGCCATTTTATTCCTCGCCGCCAAATGTAGTGTCGAGGACCGTAGGAGATGGAAGGAAAACACGTCGTTATCTGCTGCTCTCTAAAACACTTCTGTCTTTATTCTTTGTACTCTCTCGCATCAGTCAACGCAGACCCCTAAGCCAACAGGCATTACGGTTATATAATAGCGTTACTATACTACAGACAGAAGCTCAGTCTATTTCAAGGGTTTTGTTTTGTTTGTTTTGCGTGATTTTTATTTTGCTGAAAACAAGCTTTTAATCGTGATAATGTATCACCTTTCTACCACCGCCCATCACTTTAATATAATATGTATCAATCAATGTTACTCATGATGATGTATTGAACTCATATATTGTAAAAGTGGATACATTATTACACTCATTAAAATGATTTGTTGGCAAATTCTGTGTACATCGTACAGCGTAATATTTTACTATTAGTGGAACACATTGGTTGCAGCTTTTCGAATCTAATATTAACTAACTAAAATCTTGTTTGCGAAGAATGTAATTGTGAGCACCGCTGAACCCCGCCCTTGACAGGATCTCCCGCCGTATTCTATGAATAGGGTTGATTTTTTTGGCTATCTGGGGACTGGTAGTAAAGCGGATAAAACTATATGGGGAAAATTATTTTTATTGAATTGTAGCAACCATTTCCGGGAAATAAGTGAACGACAAAATCCATGAATGATTTTTTAGTGTTGCATCGAAAGTGAATTATTCCCACTTCTTTCAATTTCTATATGGAGATTATTATCACTTCCTACCAGCGGAACACCGCCATCTCTGTGGAAAATTGCCGTACGATATGATAAATTTTTGGATGACGAACGAAATCTGGATTACATCGTTGAGTCTTTAGGACCATAATGGCAATTATTGAAGAGGCTGGACTCTCATCGAAACGTCAATGAATTCACTTCAGCCTATCGGATGAAGATAAAGATTGATTCGATCGGAGCGCTTCATTTGTATTTGAGAATATTGGGTGCAAACATTCATATCACACGTTATTGACTTCGTTCGGTAGCATTTGAAGTAAAGTATCGTACCAATCGCATAATTTACCTGTTAACGCCAAAATCATTGATTTATTTTATGTTTTCTGCTTGATAGGTCCAAAATGGGCCTTAGGCCGAAGTAGTTCTCTACCCTACTGCAAATATTGTATTTATTTGTTGGATCTGGCCCGCAAAACCATTTTCCGTGTGTTGTAACCCACCGTTTCGAGGTTACAATAAAATCCAGGGGCTTATCTAGGGGTTCCCTTGAGAGAAAAATAATAAAAGATAGTTAAGAAACAAACTTAACTATCTATTATTATTTTTTGTGATGTTCTTAAAAAAAAATCTAGAGATCCTGATTTGTTACTTATCGTGAAGATTCACATAAATATATCTGCATACAATAAGACTAATTCAAATTGTATTTTTATTTTATGGCAGCTCACCTCATTCCATCTAAATAAACAATTGAAGTGTCAGCCATAATATTCAGCTTAATGCATTTGGTTTACTACGCAATCAAGTTGTACAGTATATATACTAGACTGATGCAAAATTTGACTTTTTCGCTCCACAGTGCTTAAATGGTTTCAAATCGGGTCCTGGTTAGCCTTCCAAAGTTACAACTCATTTGGTTAGAAACAGACTTCGCACAAGCCATTTGAAGTTTACATGTAGATTACTATGGGAAATCTCAACTTTTTGTTCATTGCCTTCTAGTATTTTTCCATATTGAGCTGCGAAACAGTTCGATAACCATTCTTATAGAAAATTTTCCCAGCTACAACTTTGCTGAACATCGTTTCTATGTAAAACGAGACAGGAAAAAGTTATTAATTATTTAAGAGATTGGTAAACTTATGACATGATCAAGCAGCTGCTCTGTAGGCAACACTGTATTTTGTAGTGTGACATAGTAGCCATGATTTTTGTGTCCTATTCAACGCCCCAGAAACACCAATGTTGCCTGTTGAGCAGTTGATTGAGCATGATCATAAGACATCAGCGCATTGAACCATTGATAACTTTCGATCCTTGCATTTAATCAAAAAGTGGTCTTCAGCAAAGTTGTAGCTGGGAAAATTTCCTACAAGTACAAATGAAAGTTTTTGAAGCAGACCGATACGGTGAATTATTAGATAGACATGAACAAAAATCTTGGTTTTACCATAGTAATTCCCATACAAACTTCAAAAGGTTTGTGCCATCTCAGTTTCTCACCAAATGGTTTCAAATTTTGAGAGGTTAGTCAGGATCCAATTTGGAATCGTTTAAGTAGTGTGGAGCGAAAATTTCAAATTTTGCATCACTCTAATATATACGTTCTCTTAATTAAGCCGGAAGAAGCTAAAAACATTCTGAAAGAATGAAATCCAAAATGTACACGTTTGTCTTATTCTATTTTCAGTCAACCTTATTCGTTTCTTTGTTTCCGCTTCCAATAGATCATCAAAATGAAACAGAACTCGAGCAGTTTGACTAAAGCGCAAAATTTCGTTAACACGGCCCGAACGAATATGCAATCATTCGAAATGCCTGCCGTTTGATCTCGGGGCCAACATTAAACTAATTGAAATGAAATATGGTTCCTACTTCACCAGTCTCAGTGGACTAGCACTCTGGTACATGCCGTAGTGGGGGTGACATTGAGCAAAAAAAATCGTCTCTACCTTACAACATTCACATTTTAGCAAGGAAAACAATTTTAAGCATTCGAATATATTCGTCATTGATAGGTATTTACGACCGTCGTGGAAGTGGTTGCTTGAAATGTATATCTCATTTGACTAAAATTAAATAAAAAATATACCAAGGTTTTAATACCTGGGCCAAAAATAAATAGAGTTAAAATGTCTAAGTTGGCGTCGGTAGCATTGGTGCTCAAACAAGATCGACGGAAAACAAACCAAGGAAAAAAATGTCTAAGTAAAGAGTAACGTAGCTATTAGGAGTACACTTGGTTATTACCACAATGTACATCGTATGTATAGCTTAATACCACGTATAACCCTCGCCTATACACATAAAAGTGTGTTCAAACATTTGTTTGCCTGTGGACATTTTTAAAAACGTGATTTTGCTACTATTTATGTCACTTAGCTTTACACCACTATTTAAATAAAACAACTGGTTAATCCTTTAAATTTGTAGACGGTACGGAATCCCTTTATGAAGAGCTTTGAGTGGGTTGGTTTATTTCCTTTAAATTCCGTTATAATTGCTTATCTTTTGACAGATACGCGTATTTCGTCTACTACTTGCAGACTTCATCAGTGCCAAGTACAAGTGGTGTTGAGTACTTGGCACTGATGAAGTCTGCAAGTAGTAGACGAAATACGCGTATCTGTCAAAAGATAAGCAATTAAAACGGAATTTAAAGGAAATAAACCAACCCACTTAAAGCTCTTCATAACTGGTTAATGTTATTTATACTTTATATTAATTAGTATCAAAAAATATTTTTCAATTTTGGCCCAATATCACCCTGTATTACGGTAAGTTGAAAGAGTTATGAACTTGTTGCTCACCCGGGTTTGTAGGTACTCTGTAAAAGAGAAACTACATCGGAATTTTGCCGCAAATGCAATGCGCTTCATGTCATCCAATATTTATGAAGCACTTTGTAAGCGGATCCTTCCAGCAGTTGCATTTTCGTTGATGTGGAAACGCATTCTACCATGTTTTGTGTGAAATCAGCTCCAGTCACGTGATCCGCGGGAAAAATATCTTAGGGGAGGTTTGTAGCAGTTTGACAATGTATTTTTTCACTTAGTTTAATGAATTCTGGTATTGCATGGAATTCAGCAGACTTGAAAATATTTACCATTTTTATGGAAAACAAATTTCATTCAAATCTGAAAATTATCAATCCTCTGATTTGAATAACTTTTTTTTTGTTCAATGAAAATGCTAAAACTTGGATTTAATATGCTAGAACGTCTTGGACAATCTAATGCAACAATGAGGAAACTAAGACTTAAACAAATCAAACATTTTTTTAATTATTTATTTAAGGCTCAAGACACCGTCGTTCAATTTGGATTCTTCTTCTTTTTTGAAATATTCTTCAATTCTCATCAATAGTACACACAGACATTAACACACAAGCCATCCGAAAATTTAAAGCAAGTATTTCATGATTATACATCGTTAATTTTCTGGGTAAAGCACCTTCATTGCATTTACTTACTTGTGTTCTATTTAGTATTCTTCAATATCACGTAATCGAATACACACAGTTAATATTAAATGCTGATCTATTGATGAACAAAATAGAACACCAAGAAAATCACTTCAACTCCATTTTTTTTGCTAGCTAACATAAAAGAATCAGCGGCGCCGGTGGTGTAGTGGTAAACGTGATTACCTCTCACCCCAAAAGGCCTGGGTTCAATCCCAGTCGGCACCACCGGGATGTTCTGAGGCATAAAGCCGTTTGTTCCCTGGTTCATGAGTTGATGGGTCGATAGGTAGGGTCCAGGTGTGGGAGCTGCCTCCCTGGCATACTGTGGTCCAAAATGGCAAAAAGTTGAACTTTATTCCTAAGCTCTAGGAATAAGGTTCCACTTTTTGCCATTTTGAACCATAGTGCAACGGTGTTGTTACTTTCGCTTGATTCAATGATTAATTGTGACCAGTGCTGCAAAATCTTGACAGTACACGGTGATATTGACAATTCTGCTTTGGTCACTCATTTGAGCTAACAGTCATAGTCAAGGCAAACCATGTCAATTGTCAATGACAATGGTGTCAGTGACGAACATGTGCAGATTTGTTTATTAGCTTAATTTGTTACGAAATTAAATGACTTGAGCAAAACAATCACATGGATCCATTTTAGTGAACAAGTATCTACGTCCTGAGCTACTTGGATAAAAATAATGTGACACAGAATGTACTAAATTACACTTTTTGTTACGAGGTGAATCTTTGTCATTGACGAAAAAATGAATGAGATTTTGACGAAGGTTTTTTTGAGGATCAAGTCTGTCAGTGACTATGTGACGAACAATTTTGTCAATATCGCGCGAAAGTCTGTCAATGACAATGACAAATCTCAGCACTGATTGTGACAAATCGATGATGAAAGTCAACAGTGACACTTACGTTGT